AGATCGCAGATAAACTAGCTTACGCTCTTATTCTTGCATGTAATTTTTATTTTTGTTCTGCACAAATTCCCGTATACTCCTTGTAGTATTACTACAAAAATACTAATAAAAAAGATACGAGCACGAACTCACCTTAATAACAAAAAAGTAATAATAATAACTACTACTGTACTATATATGTAACCGAAGCTATGCCATAAAAGCCGAAATAATTGAAAAAGTTCAAATTTACAGTTTCGAATAAGTTGAAATAGTTTCAACCACATATATAATAACTACGAATTTGGATCATTTATCAAGATCTTTTAATAACTTGAGACTTTAAACAGGCTAGAACGAATCCAGTGATTATCGCAAGATCTATATCAAGATTACGGAGTATTTTATTCTATCCAATCGGACGCATGGATTTTTACACTCTTAAGATTTTCGTTAATCATATACAATTATTCATTCAACTTAAAAACTAAACTACATTTTGGTTAAATTAAAATGCTACTTTGCATTATATTATCATGAATTAATATGAATTTCTGATTTCGTTATCCAATTTCTTATCCTAGAATATCCGATATCTTAAATAAATAGTTTCGTAACGTTGTCACACCAAACCAAGCCTGATTTAGAAGTTTGTTGACAAAGGTACAAACTTAAAATTTCATAATGCAGGTAAAATTGAATATACATAAAAAATATTAAAAAACTTTATTCCAAAAAATCGATATAGATGAATTGATCATATTTTCTGGAATTGGGTATATTTCATTATCCCCCAAACGGTAACCGAACAGATAATTATTATATGCTATTTCCGGTAATTGTGCCTGAATCCGGTACCCGCCTGAAGTGCACCTGACTGAAGTGCCTGAAGTTGCACCTGACCCTAATTAGATCATCCTGCATTAGCATTTTTAGGTAGCGTTCCCACAAAAAATTGTTCATCCCTGTAATTTTTTTTTTTACCAAGAATAAAACTGTATTTAGTTTGATTTTTAATTGACCGCAGAAGGTGGTTTCTTAATTAAAATTTCGAGCTATTTCTGTTTTTTTTTTATCGATCGTTTACGTTACACCTGATCTTGGAGAGCTAGCGCTAGGGCGTCCGGGTGTAACTTCAGGGATACAAATACAAAAGGGGAAATTAGCCAATCGGAGACCGTAAAATGCGATTTTCCCGGACTAGCCAAACTCGTGTGCAATACAAGAAAACGAGTGTTTAAACCTGCCTTGATGCACTAATTAAAATGATTGGAATGAATAGTTAAATTTATAAAAGCAAAATTTCATTACAGTAATTTAATAATAATTTTGCCATTGATATAAAATATACTGTTTGGTGTAATGTCTTATTGTACGTACACGTACTGTAGGTACGTAGTTTAAATAACTTGTGCGCATGTTACACGATACTATCGGCCTTAAAAAAATACAAAATTATTAATTATACAAAAATATCATTAATTTCGATTTTTAGCTTTATAATAACTAAATTAATTTAATTATCATTAATTTCGATTTTTAGCTTTATAATAACTAAATTAATTTAATTAAGTTTGCAGCGCTAAGAATGAAGTTCTATAGCATCTAACTTTAACGTTCTAACCCTAATTTTTAATTTCACGAACTTAGTTTCTTTTTACGTTGAATTTCCTTTTTGGGTTTGTATCACTCGCACAAGTATTTCCTAGTGCCCAACTTCAGACGATAATTACAAATTTAAGTCTGAATTTAACGGTATGTACATTAGTATTTTCCGAATTTTGCACTTATGAAACGAGGAATTTTTAATTGTTTGAAGATCGCTTACACATGTACATACTGATTAAACATTTATCCATGTCTCAAAATGTAAATAATATAAAATTTCACAGTCACACAATGTGACTTGTTTAGTTAAACAAAGTCTCTTTGCTTGTTTTTTTTTTTTTTTTGATGTGCAAGAAGATTCTATTTTGAAAAAAAAACATTTACACGTGAAAATATTTAATCTTGACGTTAATAGATTGATTTTTAAATAAACAGATTAAATCTTGATAAATCAACTTTCTACCATTGTATAGTGACATCATAGAGATATTATACCTCAACGTCAAAAAAGTCAAAAAAAGTACGCATGCATTCCCACACTTGGTTGTGTATTTTTTCTTTTTGGAGTTCAATATGCGAAGTGCAGCTAACAATCGTCATTATTCTGGTAAAATTTAATCAAATTAAGTCATATAACTCAAGACTTGTCTAAATAAACAGTAAATTCAGTAAAATCTTGATCTAATTTGGACACTTCATTTAAATTATCCTTGCTTTTCCAACATTGCACAAAAGATTGAATAACACAGTATAGGTCAGAATTATGCTAATTGTAATAGAACACATATCCAATAAACTTTACTTTTCATCAGCTACAATAAATCATCACAGTCAATTATCGATATTACAAAAATATAAACTAGGCTATAGTTCCGTCACATAACATATTTTACATATATACATATAATGGAATGTACTTTATAAACCTTAAACTTCGTTATAGGTTTACTCCTGATCAAAAATTTTTAAGTGTCATTAATAACTCGGAGCCACAGAATACGCTCCGATTAGTCACTATTCGATGTATTGTCAGTTATATCAAATTCGTTATATGGATTAGTAACAATAAATTTTGTAAACAGGTTGGCCAAAATATCCGATATATTAAAATGGATTTTTACCATTGAAGTCATTGTAACTATTTTAATTTATCTATAAAAATTTTGTATTCAAATTTGATCTGTTACATGGAACATAAAAACAATCATTCTTTAAGTAACTTGTACATGTGCCATGTTTTGTCGATCATAATCGACAAAATCAAGAAAAAAAAGTTCTACGTATATATCTCAAAATTTCGCCTATGAAACAGCTTTCGTGCTCTAATAAAAAGTATTTCTCTCATATAAACCTTGCTTTAAGGCCTCATTTAACCATAGCCTAAATCACTTTAATCTCAAATTAGCTTAGTGCTGGCAAATGTCGATCAATATAGCCGAATGATCGACAAAACCTGCATATATTTATTGTTTGACCGGCTCATTGTATAAATATTTACTGCTCTGATCATTGTGTGTTAAGTAGAAGAACCTTAAAGTTCGTACTGTATATATGCACGTACAATTGTACTATTTGTCAGGTTACTCTATAAAAAAATTTTGTCCAAATTTTGTTTAAAAGTTATTCTGATTTTGTTCAACAAATTGTTCGGAATGGAGTCGATTTTCCTAACATATCGAATATTGTACTGATTTTGTACAATGTTTATACCTAATGCTGTCAACCCAAAAATTTCGTTTTTTACATCATAGTACAAAGATTGTACAATATCATACTAGCATTCGGAAAATCGACTCCATCCCGAACATTTTTTCGGACAATACCTACAATAACTGAACAAACTTTTTTTATAAGGTTTTGCGGATCTAAAAAAAACTTTTTTTGTAGTATTTAAGCTGTTAAAATGCGCATATATTCATTGTTTCTCATTCAATTGTAATATAGTGCCGAGATGTGCGTTAACTTTTAGTATATAGTACGTACGAAAATTGATTACTATTATTTTAACTTTTCAATTTCAAATTGGATACATTTTTAATCTATTTTCTAATAAACTACAACCATAGATTACACAACGCCATAAACGTGTGATAAACTACAACCATAGATTACACAACGCCATAGACGTGTGATAAACTACAACCATAGATTACACAACGCCATAGACGTGTGTGCTATTGCGATGTAACACAAGACATATACGGAATAGATCGAAGATAAGCCCGACATGCAAAAATAAGAAAGTGAATGCCTTAATTGCAGGTATTACAAAGATCAGTATGGTATGATTTTATTAAACTGTACTGTACTGTTTTGCTTAATTGTCACAACCCTAAAATTTAGGCTTGGCTCTGCCCGGAATTATGTTTAATACCGGCCAGGTTTTTATAGGGCGTGACAATTAAACAAAACAGTATAGTATGGTTTGATAAAATCACATCTATACCATAATAATCCGGTCAGTTGTATCATACTGACCTTCTGTAATCACTTTAATTGCTCTCGAGACGCTAACTAAAAGTAATCGGAAACGCATTTTTGCTTATATTAATTATTTTTCTTTAATTATCGTCTACATTAACCACTAACCATAAATCTTTAACTTCACATATTTTTATTTTTATAATTTCTTTTTTTGCGTAAATGAGTAAATCTTGCTTAATAACGAAATAATTTGCAAAATATTTTCGTGTGGTGTATTTTTATAATGCCATAATTAGAAATGTCATACTTTATATAATAAGATGTGCAACATACTCAAGCCAAAAGATGCAGCATACAAAAAAAGAAATATTTAATAGTGCAACTTTAACTTGCCAAGAAAAGATAATGACAACAATCTTATGCGTAGGCAAAAAAAATAAATAATGAACCTAAAACAATTTATTGACTATTTCACACATAACTTATGAGGAGATTTGTGAGGTGTTCTGTATCAATGGTCTTTCTATTTTTCCATTGACGGTATATAAGGTTATGTTTTTGTTTGAATAACATATTCCAAAAATAACCCAAATAAATTACGGAACCCGTCCGTCAAAATGCGCAATACTGCGTTAAAAATTCATCCGCACCAAGTTTATCATTACGTAAATGATCTTGCTAAAATTGGCTTAATGACCATAATTTTCGTAATATGCAGTCAATTAATACATTTTAATGAATAATTTAGTTTTTTAAGATTATCTATTTCATTTATTTCTCGGAGTCAATTCCTATAAAATCCGTTAAATTAATTTAAAGAACTTATATAAAATGCGTTTCACTCCAAAGATGCTAAATAAATGCAGTACATTATCAGAGCGATTAATGTAATAAGATAATTTGTTTTTATAAATCAACCGTTACCTGCCTTTTTTTTTTTTCTTCACTTTGAAAAATTATTTAGTATCTTTTTTTTAAATATTTTCACCATGACTGTAAAATTTTTTGTATTATTTGTATTCATAATATTACCACTTTGTGTGTTTGTAAATACTACCCCTATCTCTAATCCAGGACACTTAAAAATCCGTCTAAAAAGAGTTCATACATCTAAGATAGATCCTGGTTTATTATCATTATTAAAACGTGATCCTCAAGGAAAAGAATATTTAAATAATGTGAATGATATACGTTATACAGGCTCAATAATTATTGGTGGTCAAAATCTTACCATAATGATTGATAGTGGTTCTTCCGACCTTTGGGTTCCGAGTGTGTTCTGTTCCACCCCTGCATGCACGAGTGGTACTCGTTATGATCCTGCAAAATCCACTACATATCAAACACTTCCTGCTCCAAATAATTTCACTCTTAATTTTGGTGATGGCGCTCAGGTTGATGGTTTTAAAGCTACTGAAACTGTCACGATTGGTGGTCTTTCTGTCACACAGCAAACTTTTGGTGTGCTAACAACATTTACTTCTAATCAATATAGAGGTGGCGGGATTATGGGTATTAATTTTAGGCAGAGTACTCGATTTAATGCTCCCGGTGTAATACAAACAATGAAAACGCAAAAAGTAATAAATAAAGCTTTGGTGGGATTTCATTTTAGCGCACCTAAAGTAAATGCTAATGATGTAAGTTATATAACATTTGGTGACGTTCCTAATGAATACGCAAATAGTATTTCATATAATAAAGTAGTAGAAAATAGATCATGGATAATTTCAATGAGTGATGTTCAAGTTGATGGAAATTCTCTTGGAATTAAGTCAAATGTTTTAATTGATACTGGTAGGAATATTTGTTCTTCATGCCGTGTATAATCAATTTTTTAAAAAATTTTAAATTAGTTTATCTTACTTTTTTTTCTTTTAAAATAGGTTCCACCCTTAATTATGGCTTATCTAGTCAAGTTAACACCCTTCATCAAAAAATTAGTGGTTCAAATTTTTCTAATGATCTGTGGTGGATTCCTTGTAACACTAAATCTGTAGTATCCGTAGTATTTAATGGTGTACCTTATGAAATTAATCCCCTTCAATTGATAACAATAAAAAATAATTCAACTGGACTATGTAGATCGGGTATACAAATACAACCAAATACGAATGCTAGCTTTTGGACTCTTGGTGATGTGTTTTTATCAAACGTTTTTACTGCATTTGATTTTGATAACCTAAGAATTGGTTTCGCTACATCCCCAAATGGAACTGGGGTAAGCTAATCTTTATAATTAAAATTTTCTAAAAAGTTGTTATTTTAAAATGAGTGATTATCAATTTTTAATATTTTTAATTTTAATACATTACTAGGCACCCGGAACTAGTCCTGGATCTGGAAATGACAATCCTAACAATGTTAAAAAATCTGACGCAAATAAGCGTAGTTTAAATCTGTTATTTTTAATCATTCATGTTTTTATTATTACTACTACCTTATTACAATAGTACCAGGAGAATCGTTCACCTAATTCCTTTAAATACTTGCCAATAATTAATTGTGAATAAACTAATTCTTATTAAAATTTAATAATTTGAAGACTAAGATATGAACGAGCCCCTCTGTAGAAGTGCTCGTTGTATATCTAGTTCTCACATTTTTATTACTTTATTATTATTTAATATTTATATTCATATACTGTATTAATAATTTTTTGTAAAAATAACGAATCTGATTAAAATAAATTTAACAATTAAAATGTGTATAATTAGTAATAAAATTCAATATATCTCAGTATATATATTATCGTTATGTTATCCGGCTATGTAATGTTGCCATACAAATAGAGGGGTGAGTCCGGTTACAGCAGTGAAAAAAATTCGATGTGGGTCTGTGCTCTTCCCATATAAAAAGGTTTTTTGCGCACAATATATATATATATATTAAACTATGTGCAAAAGCGCACATTATTTTTTGTCGGGGATGATGCTGAAACAAGATGCTGAAACAAGATGCTGAAACATTGACTTATTTTAATATGAAACTTTAAGATGTTTTTTTAGCTTTTTTTTTTGGCTAGTGTTTATAATAAAAAAGTATAGGTGGATTTCAGTAGGTTTATATTTCTAAATTGAGACCCCACGTTTCAGCATCATCTTGTTTCAGCATCATCCCCGACATTTTTTAAAGGTAATGCGCGGTGAGCGCATATAGTTTTTTTAATAATACATTATTAATTTTTAAATAATGTACACTCTATCAATATAATTAAAAAATAGAGTATTGCTATTTCCACCCCATTTTTGCTAATACCATCCCCAAATTTTAAAAAAAGTGCACCGGAAGAGGTATTGTTATTAAGCAAACTCCTTTTTTTGGTCTTAATAAAAGTTGTTCATCGGGTTTTTCTGGTTCTAATGGTAATAAAATCATTAAAATCGGACCAATAGTTTTGTTTTAAAAGTAAATAAAAAGTTAACTAATTTCGAATAAAATATCTTATTAACTACTTATCTGAATTTAATGATTTTACTGCCATTAAAACCAGAAAGGCCTAATGAACATGATTTTTTTAATAAAAATGCCTCTTCCGGGGTAGGGATAGGGATCGATTTAGTCGACTAAAAAATTTATATGTAAATTACTATGTTTAGTCGATTTAGTCGACTAAATCATATAGCCGATTCCTATCCCTATTCCGGGGTACTTTTTGATATCTGAGGGGTGGAAATAGCAATACTCAAAAAATATTATGGTGCTATATTGCAATAATGCTATTCGCAATACAGTACAGTCAGATTTTTCTAAATGCAAGATTCCAAAAGTTTGGCCCCCGACGAGTTCATTTAGGGAGGCTTGACTGTATTTCCTTACAGCTTTACAAAAAATAATATGGCATCGTAACAAATGCCTTAATTTTGTAAATGAAATTTAACCCTAGTTATACATACTTATATATTATGTATTTTGCTGCGCATTGAAATGCAAATTAACAAAGCGATTATCTAAGATTACTGTATGCTACTACTGCGTAAAAATCATCTACCGGTCGTGCGGTGTAATGGGGTTTTCTGCATTTGGCAATACATCGTAAGCGACATTTACCGAGTATGGTTAGTAGCTTAACTATTTATGTTATTTCATATAATCTTCACGCATAAGATTGTATAAGATTGCTAAAACAATTTCCTAGAAAAAGAAATTCGTTTTTTACTTTAATACTAGATATACATGTACGTACGTACATGTAAAAAAATGCTTTTCTTTTAGAGAACGAGAAAAGAAAAAAAATTTATCAAAATCAAAAGTATACTCAACTTATGCTAAAATACATTATTTCATTACTTTTTATGACCTCTTTGCCCTATAATTTTATGTCAAACTTTGAGAATTATTTTTTATTTTTTGTTTTTTCGGTATGATGAATTGATAATCAATGATCGTCGAATGTAGTGAAAAAAATTGAAGATCACATCCAAATTTAAATATCTATATCATTTCTAAATTTATATACATTATTATCCATGTGACCATAAATCTTGATTAAAACCTGAATCTACAATGTGGTGCGATCGATAAATATAAATTTAAACCAATGCCGAGCGAAGCGAGGCAGAACATAATAAATGTGGCAGATTAAAATGAAATTAGATTAAAATGAAATGAGGGATAGTGTAAAATAGACAAGCCACCGAAAAATACAGATTTTTGGGGTGCATTTTTTTAGCATTTTTTTAGGGTGCGGATTAGGCTTTAGAAGCAGGTTTTATAATAAACAAGTATAAGTGGGTTTTAGAGGGTCAGATAGAAACCCCGCATTTCATTTTAATCCGGTTTCATTATGATCTGCGACAAAAACTGAATGGCAAAGCCTCTCGTATATAAAGTTCTAGTATCTATGTTTAAATTGCATCTACATTATTGTGAATCTTGATTAAAACTTTAAGTTAACAATTAATGATTGTTGAAATATGGCGAAGCGAGGTAAAACATAAAAAACGTAAAACTCAAGCAAAGCCAAGAACTATGAAAAAAAAAACAAATAGAATACCACCTCAATATATATTCCTTGATTTAATTAATCATGTATTATCAAATTGTCAGTATCTGTTAATACCATATACTGTTATATCTAATTATTAATTGGCAGCGAAACCGCCACATCATGTACTAGTTCTGGTAAATACAAAAACAGTAATTAATAAAATGCTAAAATAATAAAAATGTATGTGGCTGTTTATGAGCAAATTTAAGTTAAAAAATTCAACATATTTTCAAACCGATGTTTTAGTGATGCACAGTATCAATTAGTAGTTTTTCGCATAAATAAATTAACCAAAATTATAGAAATTTTCAAATCGTCCTTCGTATTGTTTTCTTACGTGTTGAGCCTGAAGCTCTCAAATCTAGTAACTCTGCATTGTAATTTCTAAAACAGGCAATGCATTAATCCTTTTTCTATATCCTATTACTGTATTATACAGCAAGTTCAGGGTTGCTAATACTAGCGCTATTTATTGCATTCATTTTTTTCAACCAGAAGGCTGTTGCGTACTTGATTTGCATGTAAATACACAAGCTTGTGACTGCTGGACTATTTCAGTGATGATAGTATTATCGTAATGATAGTATTATCCGTTTATCAAGATTAGGTAGCCAAACCCCTGTTACGAATATTTGACATTTCTACTTAATTTGGGATTGGGATAGACATTGATTTTTAGACCTTTATTAAACATCCCAACTCTCAAAAACCAATTAGCAATGTATAAAAATTTCCACATTATCATCCTTATATATATAATACTGTCACTCTAAATGAAATATTATTATCTTCGAACATACGTATATTCATATTATACTATTAATAGTTATTTTTTCTTTTTTCTTAACTACATTGAACTCTGAAAATATTACTAACTAGCAGTGATCATCACCGCTTATTTTTAGGGTTAGGGTGCAGTTTTAGGGAAAGATGTTTTAGGTCCGAATTTAGTTAGGTTCAGGTTTTGAGTGTTTCAAGCATTTTTAATTTGTCTCTTGATGTGAATTAGCTAGCAGATTTTTGAGATATAGCACTTTGATTATAATCACACTGGTTATAGTTATATATTTTTACTATGTTTTGCCATGTGTTGAATAACAGGTAGTGTACTATAATAAATCACATGGTATGAGACGAATTGAACATCTAAATTTTAAATAAATTATTATATAATTTTTATTTTAAAATAGGATAATGATGCATTTTATTATAGAATAGAGTAATTGTATAATTTTTATTTTGAGAGTAATCATGAAATTTTATCTTGAAACAGAGTATAATTATTTGGGCTTTATAATTTGTTGCTATAGCGATGTATTGCCACCCGGGTCTAAGTCAAATCAAAATCCCGAAAATCAAAATTCTGAAAATCAAAATCCCGAAACTTAAATGTCACGTCATGCGATGTCGGGGATTTAATATTCAAGCTCCGCATATGATTAGTAATATAGATTACCTATAGATACTAATCATAGGCGGAGTTTGAATATTGAATCCCCGACATCGCATGACACGTCAAATAAATCTCAGGGGGTAGTGATACATCGCTATAGCAATAAAAAATAAAATCCAAATATAAAATAATTAAAATTTTTCTTATAATTTATAATTACTTAATTAAAAATTTTTTAAAACAAAATAATACAGATCAACAAAAGTTTTTTTTATTTATTTATATAATAACATAATAGAAACTTTATTACAGATAGAAAAATAATTCTAAACCTAAAGATTTCTAAACTATATTTGTGTTACATAAGGCACCCAATGTGACATTACACTCCCTACTTCCTATAAAATGCTATAGTTGATTATTTCAAACTAATTTCTAGCTAGAATAGGTTGAAGAAAAACCTAAGGTGATAGTTATAGCATTAAATAAAGTATGCAGTTAAAGCATATCCTTGTAAGAGCTATTTATTAATAAAAAAATTAATGTCTAGAGGTTTTATTATTGTTAAAAAATTATTTGAAGAAGTAAATGTGTTAGGGAAGTAAGATTTTGTATGTTTAGCCTTGGCAGTAATATTTTGAGAAAGTTTCTATTGATGTTGATAAATATTACAAATAGATTATAGCTTTTAGTAATATCAAGATAAAAGATTGTTAGAGAGATTAATAAGAAAAGAGTTAGTTTGTTTGTTAAGTAATATTTTGATATTATTGTATATAGTAGATAAAGAGGTGCCAGTAATTGCATATAATAAAGAAAGGTAATGTGTGTTTAAAGAGTTGGTAGTGAAATTTAGTAGAACATTAAGAAGTATATTTAAAAATTGTTAGAAATTTGAAGAGTTGTTTAGAATAAAAAATTAATACAAGATCCTCATTGATATAAATATATACCATGAATTAGACCTACATACGAACAAACTATAGAATACTATACCTGAATTTATGATAGATTTTAAAATGAATAGAAAAAAAATAGATTAGCAAACTTTGCTAATTAATTTTAATTGTTGAATCAATTTTTTTTTATTAACTAACCTCTTTGGCTTAGAGTTTTTATTCAAGTATATTGGGGTGAGAGGCTTACAACAGAACCTCAAATTACATTTGAGAGTACAACTAGCCACATGTGTGCCTTTTGAGTGCCTATTTAAGTAGTCCGTGTATAGATAACTGTACACTATAGGTTCTACACTAGCTGCTATACCTATAATCTAACTAGAAGATTATCTATTTAAACTCTCTATAAAGCAACCAAACCCTCATTTGTTATCACTGGGACATCTCCATTATATTTGTCAGTCAAGAAGTACTGGATGATTGCCATAGCCTTAAGACTAATTTATCTTCGAGGCATC